ATGGGGGACAGGGGGTGGTCATGGTGTGGCCATGGGGGACATGGTGTGGTCATGGGGACATGGTGTGGTCATGGTATGGCAATGGGGGACATGGTGTAGCCATGGGGGACATGGTGTGGTCGTAGGGGACATGGTGTGGTCATGGTATGGCCATGGGGGACACAGGGTGGTCATGGGGGACATGGGGTGGTCATGGTGTGGTCACGGTGTGGCCATGGGGAACACGCTACAGTCATGGGGACAACGGCACAACCATGGGGGATGTGGAAGCGCCCGTGGCAATCCTGGGCTGTGCCCAGACGCCCAGGGAGGACACGGGGGACGTGACCCGTCCCCGGGGGCCGCGCGGGGCCCCGCGGGTGACGCGTGGCCGTGCCCGCAGTACGGGGCCGACGTGCGCGCCCGGGACGGCCGCGGCCGCACCGCGCTGTTCTACGCCCGCCGCGCCGGCAGCCGCGAGTGCGCCGACATCCTGCTGCAGCACGGCTGCCCCGGCGAGGGGCCCGGCAGCCCCCCGACCCCCGGCAGCCCCCCGACCCCCGGGCCCCCGACCCCCGGCGGGCCCCCGACCCCCGGGCCCCGCCGCCGCAGCAGCTGTGCCAGCGTGGGGACCTGCGAGCCCCGCTCTGCCCTCGTATAGCCCCGAGGGGCCCGGCGCCCCTGGGTGCCCATCCCGGTGCCACCCGCGGGGTCGCCCCTTGCCCACGGTTTGTACTTTTGATGCTCTATTTATTATCCTTTCCATGTCGGGGTCTCCGCTGGTCCTGCCCCCCTCTCCGTGCCAGGGACCCCCATGCCAGGGGCACAGTGATGCCACTGCCACTGCCACTGCCACTGCCACTGCCACTGCCACTGCCACCTCCCTGTCCCCTCCCCGGGGTATTGTGCCCCAGCGTGGGGTGGGCACAGCTGGGGTCGGGGTGACCTCTGCCCATGTCCCTGCCACCCCCGCCCGTGTCACCCTCACCCCCACCGTTGCCCCCTGCTCACATCACCCCGTCCTGCCCCGTCCCCGCTCCCGCGTGCTGTGTCCCCCTCCCCTTGTCACCTCCCCAGCCGCGCCCCCTCCCCAAATCACCCTC